ACTTATGGGCACAAAATCTGTTTACTGGGGAGACTGCTGCTTGGGCTATACTTATTTCATAAGCTGGTAAGCTCTTACCCCTTAGGAACTGGTTTTCTGACTGTCTTTTCCCACCTATGAGCTGCCTTCATACTTTGGATTATTCTTCCTTTTGTGTTGACAGACCAGTATTTTTTTTTAAAATAACACTCCAGGAAAACTTGAATTAGGATTAATTCTGATAGGTAATACAGTAAGCCCTGAGGAAGAGTAGTTTACCTGTCTGAGAAAGGGAACAGAATTCCAGGAAAAATGTCTACTGAGAGTAAAGGTAAAGCTTTGGATGTGCCTGCCTTCTTTGAGGAAATGAAGAGGAGACTCTGGGAAAATAGGTTTGGCTGGAATGTGGGTGGCCTTGAGTTAAGTATTCTGCCTAGCAGATGGAGCTGTGCTCCCTACATTGTACAGTCTTTAGGCTATGAAGGTTTGGGCTTTCAGGAAGCCCAGGAGATATCAGGCTGATAATGTCCATGCCCTTTTGTATCTGAGACCAGCTAACTTTTCACCAAAGGTTTCCAATACATCCTGGGAATACAGCCAGACTATATGATTCTTTTGGAATATGAGTTCTGGCCCATAGGATGGACATAGTGTACTACATCACTTCCAGGTAAGGTCTCTCTTCCTCTTCTTCTATATACTTTCTCTGTATACCTGATTCTGAAGTCAGGGCTTCTGTCAAACAAAATCCTCAAATAATGGCACAGAGGAGAATGATCTCAGTCAGTTGGATTTGATCTGAGCAAGAATTAAACCAATTTTTTTTTTTTGCCAGTCCTGGAAACTCAGTGCCTGGATACTGTCCCTGACCAGCAACCAGCAAGCTAATTAAATTGTAAGATTTATCTATTAAGATTGCTAATCTCTTGCTGACCTCAACGGTTCATGCCTGTAAGCCTAGCTACTCAGGAAACTGAGATCCGAGGATCACAATTCAAAGCCAGCCTTGGCAGGAAAGTCTGTGAGACTTAACTCCAATAAACTACCCCCAAAAAGTCAGAAGTGGTGCTGTGGCTCAAATGGTAGAATGCTAGAGTTGAGCATAAAGAGGCTCCAGGTCAGCACCCAGGCCCTGAGTTCAACTCCACAACCAACAACAACAAAAATTGCTAATCTCAACTGATGCTGATTTCCAAAAGCACACAGGTCATAAAGGAGCTTTATTTGAGTCTGATGGATGACCACTATAGTATGCTTTATATACAGTTTTAGCACTATAGGTTCTACTCTTACTTATTTTAACCAGGTCTAAACTTTATGAAAGATGATGAAAGAATTTCAAACTATTAACTGACAGCTTGTTGGAACTCTCCATTAACTATGCTTCTGGAGATTGGATGATATTCCAAAACTACTGAAACCCAGATATTTTTATAGGGGAAGTTACACAAGCCCTCACAAGAGTCAGAAATCCATAAAAAAAAATTGAAAGCTCAAGAAAGGTTTGATATGGAATGGAATGTAAACTTTTGTGAGCATAGTTATACTTTTTTTTTTTTCTTTTTGGTGCTAGAGATCAAATACAGTGCCTTACACATACTAGGTAAGCACTCTACCACTACAGCCCAGCCCACAGGTTTACATTTTCTTTTTCTTTTTTTTTTATGTTATTGGGGTTTTGAATTCAGGGCCTGGCACTGGCTCAGGTGTTCTACCACTCAAGTCAAGCCTTCATTTGCCTCATAGTTAGTACTATGTGTTAGTGTAGCTACTGCAGTTAGTGTAGTTAGTGTTAGTGTAACCCTGTAATTCTAGTTAATACGGAAGCAGAGACAGCAGGATCCCAAGTTCAAGGGCAGCTTGGGCAAGGTTAGCAAGACCCAGTATCTAAAACAAAAACAACACGGCTAGTTGCATATTTAAAGTAGTTAGAAGGCTTGTCTAGTAAGATTAAGGCTTTGAGTTCAATCTCTCCTACTGAAAAGAAAAAAGGAGTCTCCAAAAGGTTAGGAACCTCTGCCTAGGAAAAGGAATCTCCAAAAGGTTAGGAGCCTCTGCTTAGAGAAAGGAGTCTCCAAAAGGTTAGGAGCCTAGAAAATCCCCTCATCTGCTCTCAAGGTCATAACAACCTTCAAAGTTGTTATAAGAAGCCCAGATCTCTATTTAGCTTTTAATTAATATTTTCAAGAGAGTGTGTTTAGCTGGGTGCTGGTAGCCCATGTCTGTAATCCTAGCTATTCAAGAGGCTGAGATTTGAAAGACACAGTTCTAAGTCAGCTCAGGCAAAGTTTCAAAACTTTGTTTTGTTTCCTTTTGTTTTATTCGGTCATGGGGCCTGAACTCTGGGTCTGGGCACTGTACCTCAGCTCTTCAGCTCAAGGCTAGCACTCTACCACTTGAGCTGCAACACCACTTCCAGCTTTTTCTGCTTATATGGTGCTGAGGAATCAAACCCAGGGCCTCGTGCATGCAAGGCAAGCACTCTACCACTGAACCACCTTCCCAGCCCAAGTTGTGAAACTTTTATCTCCAATAAACCACCAAAACACCAGAAGTGGAGCTATGGCTCAAGTAGTAGAGAGCTGGCTTTGAGCACAAAAGCCCCAGGACAGCACTTGGGCCCCAGCCCCTGAGCTGAAGCCCTAAGACCAGCACAAAAACAAAAACAAGGTCGTTTCATAGATGTTTCTTATAGGTAAGTAAAATTTAACGCTTAAAAATCTCATTTAGCCGGGTGCCAGTGGCTCATGCCTGTAATCCTAGCTATTCAGGAGGCTGAGATCTGAGGATCACGGTTCAAAGCCAGCCCAAGCAAGGAAATTCTATGAGATTCTTATCTCCAATAAACCACTAGAAAACCAGAAGTGGCACTGTGGCTCAAGTGGTAGAGCGTTAGCCTTGAGCAGAAGAGCTGAGGGATAGCATCTAAGCCCAGAGTTCAAGCCCCATGACCGACCAAAAAGAAAAAAAGGAAAAAGAAAATCTCATTTAGCTTATGTATCTGTAACCTCTTTGTACATCACTTTTTTTTTTTTTTTTTTTTTTTTGCCAGTCCTGGAGCTTGAACTCAGGGCCTGGGCACTGTCCCTGTGCTTCTTTTGCTCAAGGCTAGCACTCTACCACTTGAGCCACAGCGCCACTTCTGGATTTTTCTGTGTATGTGGTACTGAGGAATTGAACCCAGGCCTCATGCGTGCGAGGCAAGCACTCTACCACTGAGCCACCTTCTCCAGCCCTATATCACTTTTATAGTAACAATAAATTTTTTAAAATATCATTTAGTCAGAAAATGTAATTCCCCTGAGGAACTAAAGTACTATTTATCAAAATGAACACCAGGAAGTGGGAACATGTTTGGGGGGACAGACTAAGGGAGGGGGGAGGATAAGAATATAAACACTGAACTATGTAATTTGAGGGTAGAAACAGGATTGGGAAAATGGGGGGAACAAAAGAAGGGTGACATTGACCAAAAAGCAAAAAGCATTGCACTTCTAATCTGAATTATGGAACTGCAGCTCCTTTTTAGAACCACTTAATAATAAGAGATTTTTTTAAAGCTCATTGAATGACTCAATATAAGAAATGTATTATCTTTGATGTCTCCTCATCAGGCTTGTCAGTCTTTTTTTTTAATGTTTTTTTTTTTTGTATTTGTTTTTCTGCTTATGTGGTGCTGAGGAATCGAACCCAGGGCCTCATGCATGCAAGGCAAGTACTCTACCACTGAGCCACCCTCCCAGCCCCCAGGTTTGTCAGTCTTAACCTGTGAGTCTCAACTCCCTGTCTCAACCCTACATATGGTGCTGCCTATTTAAGCTAGCCTTTCTTCCACCTCTGCCACTATCATACCCATGAAGGGCTCCTTATTCTTCCCTGAATACACCTCACCTTGGTCTGTCATCCCAGTTGGCAAGAAGAATCCTTGAAGTTAGGACAGATTATGAATCCCTTTGTTCAAACCCCAGCAGCTTTCCCCATCAGATGAAGTAGTCTTGTCTTCAAACCCATTCCACCTGCCCCTTCTGCTGTCCTCACTACCGTTAGTTATAGGCCCTCCCCTTCACCATGGTAGGTGCCTCCCTTCTCAGATTTGGCTCTTGCTGTTCTCCTGGAATGCTCTTCCCTCAAGTATGGGACACGAGGGACAAGGGAGGCAGGGCTTGCTCCTTCTTCTTCAGATCTGTAGTCACTAGTTACACTCAGGAAAGCCTGAATTTGCTACCCACTCCTCTACTTACCCCTTCCTTTTCTTTCTCCTGAGCACTTACTTCTGTCTGACTTACTATGTAACATACAATTCTTCCTGGCTATTGTCTGAGTCCCTCCTGTACTTTAAGTTCCAGAGGAAGGAATTGTTTGCCAGTTGTGTCCCTTACTACACCAGTGTTGTTTCTTGAAGGCACTAAATATTTGGTAAAAGGTTCTGGGTTTCCACAGCTACTCTGTCCCTTGCCCATACCTGCCTTACCTAGTGGCTTCTACGTGCTAAGATAGATTAATGAACTTCACGTCATTTAATTTCCAGCCCAGGACCATGTTTATGCTAACAAAGAAATACCCCCAAATCCCATGATTTTTTTTTTTTTTTGGTCAGTCGTGGGGCCTGAACTCTGTGCCTGGGTGCTGTTTCTCAGCTCTTCAGTTCAAGGCTAGCGCTCTACCACTTGAGCCACAGGGCCACTTGTGGCTTTTTCTGCTTATGTGGTGCTGAGGAATCGAACCCAGGGCCTCATGCATACCACTGAGCCACCTTCCCAGCCCATAAAAATCACTTTTGATTTACTCCTAATGTTAGTTTAACAGAAAAGCCTACTTGAGAGGAGCGAGTTGTCCCAGGGGACCCTTTATGCCCTCACGGACATGATAACCTGGCAGCCAGACCTCAAGCCTGGGGGATAACAAGGAACCCTCTAGGGATGTACTCTTGCTTAGAGGGGTACAGAGGCATGTTCATGCATGGAGAATGCAGGTGCATCCCACCCTCTGGCAGACAAACACAAGAAGTCCCACAGAAGAAGTGAAGATTCTGAAGCAAGAGTTTATTCCAAGTGCACATGAGTGTGTGGACAAGTTCAGAGTCTGTGTTACTTAGCAGACAGAGACACACATTCCATAGCATGTCACAAAGTCCCCATGAACAGTCTCTAAGCGCCAACCCTTCCTCTGTCACCTTTCCGGCCTAAGCTAGGGAAAAGGGAGGGACTTCTAGTTCCCAAACAAAACACAGGCACCTAAGGGCTGAGTGACTTACACAGCCTTATCTTTATTAATATCTACCAAGAAAAAAAATCAAAATTCCCTCCTTATTCCAACACACCTCCATCTGGGCCCTCAGGGAGCAGCATTTGCCAAGGGGCACCTGCTGACAGAACAGTCCTTGGAGCTGGGCACCCATGCATGGCCACGCATTATGCTTGCACACAGACCACAGGCCCCTTCCTCCACCGTGTGAGGGATGAAAGGGCAGCTGGCATTTTTCCATCCCTCAGCTGTCAGTCTTGGGAACTTGAAAAAGATCAGCGATGTCCAGCAGGGCTTGTCGGATGTGGTTCCCAAAGCGCTGGGCATTCTGTAGGAACTGGGAGCTCAGACACACTTTCAGGTCAAATCCCACCCATTCCCATGAACAGAGTAGGCTTTTGGGTTGCCCCATGTGGCCCCTCTCCTCAGGCCACGTAGCAGGGAAGACTCACCGTCTCTGAACTTGAGAACTTGCTAGAGACATGGAAAAACATAGTGCTTTCTCCTGCAATCATGTAGGAGACACCATAGCCATCATCTGCCACCTGAAAACAAAAGGTGAGTGAGAGGACATGAAGCTGATGTGCCTGGTCTTCCCTAAGATTTGCAGGAGATGGCCTCAACCCTGGAGACTGCATTCTTGATGTCAGGACCTTACCTCCCACCCCAGGAAACAGGGCTCCTTGTGCTAAGATCTAGGGGGCTCATACTCTATACTGCCCCCTTGTTCCAGGAGGATCTCTGACAAACCAAACTATCTGAATGTCTAGGTGAGGAGCTGGATTCCTCAACTGGACATATTGCAGAAGGACCCAATATAGAGCGCTGTCCTCTGCAGAGAAGACAGAGCCACATGACATTGGTAGGCCCTAGAACCTGTCTACCTGTGCTGACAGCTACCACTCTGTTTTCATTCAGGGTTCTTCCCACACAAGGTGCTCCTGTCCTGTCTGGTCTGGTCATGGTACACACATGTGCGCATACATACACGTGTGTATACACACACACACACACACATACACACACGCTGCACTGAATCTCTAGGGCCCAAATATTTCTCACCATCACCCTTCAGGGATACTCACAGGGCCAAAGCCACCTCCGGCACCCACGTGATTGGGGTACTGGTCTGGATCAAACATACGAATCTGGGACTGAGGGATCTGGCTGGTGGAGAGGCGCCAGGGTTCTGAAAGCACCTGTAACAGGGAGTTCAAAGTCTGTCAGACATTAGCCACTCAGCATGCACCTGTTTAAATGGTACTAAAGACCTGCTCTGAGAAAGACACTGTCCTGGTGAGGATATAGGGATGGACGTGCATGAAGAGCTGTGGGCTACTGTTCCCTGCACCCCACAGCCTGTGAAGGAAACCTTCCCGGCCCATTAGGGCCCATCAGATCTCCCATGCAACCCTCTGCACTGCCTTGCTCCCACCCTTCTCACCAGCACCAGGACTACCTGACAGCATGAAAGCAGTGACTTCATGAAGAGAACCTACAGGAACAGCCCTTAGTCCCAGGACTGCAGGCCTGGTGGGCTGTGAGGTGAGAAGGCTTCCACTGACTTCCAGGGCTACAGTAGGAACTGGCCACACAAAGCACTATCTCAAGAAGGCTGAGCTCCTGGGTCTAAAGGCCATAGCCAGCAACAACACTGACCTCAGCCAGGAAAGGAGAGCTGACGCTCAGGTACTTGGAGACTACGTAAAGGCAGAAGAGGTGCCTGTCTATCCCAGCCCCCGTCATAGCCAAGCGGTACATGTTCTGGTGCTTCTCAGAAGCTTTCCGGAAGAGATCTCGGAGATCTTCTTTCTGGGGTATAAATGCAGAAGAATGAAGAATGGCCGGTGCCTCAATGCATAGGAAAGTGAAGAGCAGTGGGTCAGAGCTCACCATGTGGGAGCCATTCACCATGGCCTGCACAAAGGCTGTGGACTCACTGGTACAGGAACGCACAGTTTCTGTCCGTCCCTCGCGGAACATTCTGGTCATTGAGGCCTCATAGGTCAAGCAGAATTTGCCCTTGTCCTGGGGTACAGAGAGGGGTGAATCTGGCAGGTAGACCCCAAGCTGCCCTGCCCACTCAGCAGCCCAAAAGGGCTCCTACCCGGAAGTGAGCCAGCTGTAAGGCAATTTGCACAAAGGCATCAGGGCTGGTACGACATTTCTTGATGAGGCCTTTGCCAAAAGGCAAGAACTGGAAGCAGTACAACTCCACATCGTCTGCCAGAGCCTTAGCCACCTGGTAGGAACTCTCGATGGCAGCTTGGCACTGCGGAGATATGGAAAGGGTCAAGTTGGGACAATGCTCTCCAAGCAGGCCTCTAGGTTGCATTGAGGAGGTGTGAAGTAAAAGGCAGAACCTAATGTCTTCAGAAGAGGACCTGAGAGGACTCATCATGAAGGCAGAATGAGTCTAGGTAAAGTGGATGCATTGCTGGGTGTTACAACAAGAGCCATGGATGTGAGCTATGCACCTCAGCCTTTCTCAAGTACAGATAGCCCTGAACTTTCTGCTTTCTTTGTGAAAAGTTTGGACCCCACATTTCTTTTTTTTTTTTTGTTATTGGTGGTCCTAGGGCTTGAACTCTGGGCTTGGACACTGTCCCTCAGCAATTCAGCTCAAGGCAAGTGCTCTACCACTTGAGCCACAGCGCCACTTCCAGTTTGCTAGTAGTTTACTAGAGATACAGTCTCACAGACTTTCCTTCCTGGGCTGGCTTTGAACCGTGATCCTCAGATCTCAGCCTTCTAAGTAGCTAGGATTACAAGCATGGGCCACTGGCACCTGGCAGACCCCACATTTCTTTAACCTTCTGTCCCATCCCTGGAGGAGGGGGGTCCAAGTGGTGAAGGCAGGAGTGTATGTGGGTAACTCGAACTGATCACTCTTGCCCCTGCCCCTGCCTGGTTTGCACACCTGTTCAGGAAGGTCCCACTGCAGCCGCTGAGGAAGAATAAGCTGAGGGTTCGGGTTGCCAAGGCAGTGTCCAGTCTCTGTGTAGCCCAGGTGAAAGGTGTCAGTGCCTAGGACAAACTGAAGGGAGAAAGCTAAGGTAGGAAACAAAGCTCATCACTAATGTCTGTCCTGCTGGCCCCCTCTCCAGGCCTGTTACCTCCCAGAGGTGCCCAATGATGGGGGCATCTGCCCACGCGTGTTCTGTGTTGAGCCCCAACAGACCATTCTTGAAGGAAATAAGAGTGAAAGACTTGTCGAACCATCTGCAGGAGGAGTAGATGCATGGATGACCCAGGTGGGGCATACACAGGACCCTTAACCTACAATCCTAATGTTAAGAAGTAATACCACTTTGCTCTTAATTCTAACCATCATCCTAACTCCAAACTTAACTGAAACAACCTTGATTTCTTTTTTTTTTTTGGGGGGGGGGTCCAGTTGTGGGGCCTGAACTCTGGGCCTGGGCGCTGTCCCTCAGCTCTTCAGCTCAAGGCTAGCGCTCTACCACTTGAGCCACAGCGCCACTTCCGGCTTTTTTCTTTTCTTTTCTTTTGGGGGGGGGGGTCCAGTAGTGGGGCCTGAACTCTGGGCCTGGGCGCTGTCCCTCAGCTCTTCAGCTCAAGGCTAGCACTCTACCACTTGAGCCACAGCACCACTTCCGGCTTTTTGCTTTTTGCTTATGTGGTGCTGAGGAATCGAACCCAGGGCCTCGAGCATGCAAGGCAAGCGCTCTACCACTGAGCCACCTTCCCAGCCCCAACAACCTTGATTTCTAACTTTCAGCTCTAACCCTGACTATAATCACTAACTTAACCATGCCACTACCTAGCCGATAGCGGTGTTCCTTTTCTGTTGATCCTCTAAGCCTAGTCATAACTTCTAGTGTTAACCCCACCTCCCAGCCCACCCCCGCCCTCCAGTCAACCCCTGCCCCCTGCCCCCTGGCCCCTGCCCGGAGCCTCGCACATGCCTGTTGTAGCAGTTGCCGTGCAGCAGTGCCTTGCCATAGAGGCTGAGGCTGGCCTCATCATCAGGGTTGTAGCAGTGCGACTCTTCATCCAGAGACACAAAGAAAGCAGCACGCTCGATGGTTTCCAGAGCAGCCTTGTTCTTGCCAGAGCTGAAGAAGGCCTGGCGTGCCTGTGCCCACTCCACCCTGGGAGCACAAGGGCAGGTGAGCAGTGGAGCCAGTGTGCACTTTGGTTCAGGGCACTTCCCAGGACCTGGTGGGGCCTGGAAATGGGGTGAGGTCGGGGTGCCTAGGTGTCCTGGAACATGTCCCACCTTCCATGCAACATATATTAAGGGTGGATATGCCAGCTATCTGCTATTTTACCACCAATGCCCTTCACTATTTAGGTCCTATATGCCCCCATTCCTTGGTTGTACCTCTGGCCCCAATTCTACCATGACAGAAAGGGCAAGCCTCCCCATAAGTCCAGATACCTTCCTCCTGCAGTGAGGGCTGCCAGCCTCTCTTCCCCAGGCTGAGGTGGGGAGGGGTCATCTAGGATCCTTTGGAACTGCATCTCCAGGTCCCGAGGCTTGAGCAGGCGGGATCCCTCATAGAGCCAGACCTTGAAGAAGCGGCCCTTGTGGTAGACAGCCACATGCCTGCTCTCTGAGAGGTGCTGCAGCACATCTGTGACAGAGGCCAGTGGACAGGCTGAGGCCCGGCCTCAGAGAGAAGAGCACCTCCCTCCCCGACCCAGCCCTGGAAAGGGGCCACCTCCTTCACACTGCGTAGTAATTGGCAGGTCAAATGATACTTGACCTGCCGCTGCCCTGGGCCTTCTATCCCTCAGGAGCAGATCTCTGTGTGCTAAGCAGGGCTTGTGCTATGTCCTTCCACTACCTCTTACAACAATCAAAGTGCTAGTAATTCCTATAAACTGCCTGAGGCAGCAGTTCCAGAAACAGAGAAAGTTGCTGACTCCATAACCCCCAGGCAAACCCCTTTTCCCTTCTGCAAGCTCTGTTTAAGGTGACTGTGCTTCCTCTGAGCTACACTAACCCAGCAGTGCTCCTCTCACTATGTGCTTGTGTGCATATGTACCAATACTGGAGCTTGAACTCAAGGCCTTAAGCTCTCCCTTGGTTTTTATGTTCACAGCTGGTATTCAATCACTTGCCTCTACTTCTGGCTTTTTGCTGGCTAGAGATAAGAGTCTCTTGAATTTTACTGTCTGAGCTGTTCTGATCCACAGTCCTAGCCCCTGAGTAGCTAGGATTCTAGGTGTGAGCCATTAATACTCAGACTCTCATTACTCTGGAGGGGAGAGGCTCTGTTCTGGGCACCCTGGGATCTAGTACCATGCCTGTAAATAATGCCTAGTATCTGTCACAAACTGACTACTTCTTACATATCCATGACCCCAAGACACAGGAATGCTTAGTAATAAGTAGGCAGTTGGGCACCTAGTCATGGTAGGACCACAGCTGGGAGGGTAGGACTTGTTCCTGCCGGGTGCCTGGCTGTGGCCTGGTACCTGTCTCATTGCCGGGGATGCGAGTAGTGTTGAACATCCTCTCCATCTGATAGGAGCACATGGGCACAATACCCAATGCCATCACCTGGGAGAAAGGTCCATCATGGCTCACTCAGGCCTCCCCTCACCATCCCACCTTCAACCCTGATGCAACTCACAGGCTTGATCTCTTCACGGTCCAGTTTGCGACGATACATGATCATGGCATGGACGACATTTCCTAGGCGGGCTGCCTGCACATCTGTGTTCTTGACAAGCACAAGGTCCTATAGACAAAGCAGATCCTGCAGGGCTCACATCTCTGTCTGCATGTCACCTAGGTCTCACTGACAAGAGGACCAACTTATTCAAGGGTGTAAGGTATCACTTCCTCTTTCCAGCCCATTCCATATGCTGTCAGGGCAACTTCCAGAAATGTATAACTAACATTCTACAAGTCTGTTCCAACTTAGACCAGAGTTGCTTTCTTTCTTTATACTTATTTTATTTGTACATGTTTTTCTTATCTTGATCCAAAGAAAGTTCTGGCCCTAATAAACAGCTTGAAACCTTTGGAAGGCTGTGTACATACTTCTAGAAGGAATCCTCACAGGCTAGTAGTGGGGTTGTTGTTGTTGTTTGTCAGTCGTGGGGCTTGAACTCTGGGCCTGGACACTATCCCTCGGTTCTTCAGCTCAAGGCTAGCGCTCTACCACTTGAGCCATAGTGCCACTTCTGGTTTTCTGAGTGGTTTATTGGAGATAAGAGTCTCATGGGAGATGACCTCCCCAAGTGAGGTGAGAGAGGTAACGCCATGTGGGACCGACCCTCCCCTGGAGCCTGCTCTGGGCAAGGCAGCCGCTTCTCCCTCAGGAACTCAGCGGCCCGGAGGACACCCTTGGTGGACTCCCCTTGACCTCTGGACCAAGTGACGTGACATTTGAGCTCCCCTGGGTGTGGGGCACGTTTAGTAGAATTAGGCCTAGGAGTTAGTTATTGGTATGGATGGCATTTGAAGTGCTTAAATAAACTAAGTGAAACTTAAAAAAAAAAAAAAAGAGTCTCAAGATCTTCCTGCTCAGGCTGGCTCAGATCTCAGCCTCCTGAGTAGCTAGGATTCTAGGTATGAGCCACCAGCGCCCGGCTAGTAGTGTGTTTTTGACAGTGGTAAAGACTGGGTGTAGGGCAGCAGAGAGACCAGCAGGTGGTGTACAGTCAGAAGGGCCAGTGGCATGGGGCAGGCACACAGTGACTTCCTGAGCGCTAAGAGAAGCATGGTATTCATCTGAAGCATAGTATTCATCTTGTGGTCTGGCCCCACACAGGGACAAAAGCAAGACATATTTGAAGAAATTCCCTAGAAATGGTGTCAAAACAGCTGGGAACTTGTGACTGGGAAGCCAAGGAGGTGGGAATAAAGGCAGGAAATGGTGGAGTCTGACAAGCAAGCCTAAGAGAGATTCAGCCATTCTCTAATACTCCCTGATGAGATTCCCCCAAGCCTCACTCCATCACCCCTTCTTTCCCATGGAAGCATCCACAAGACCTCTGGACTGTCCTCCACATCCTTGCCCCAGAGCCAGGGAAAGAGCCAAGCACACACAGGAAGCCTGTGTAAGCTGGCTTTGGTTCTTACCATGACATAATAGTTGCTGTTTACCATGAGGGGGCTCCTGCCTCGGAGGTAGATATACTCTTCCCACCAGTCACTCACCTGTGGGTAGGCAGGAGATTAAAGCTGGGGAGGTGGCAGTCAGGACATTGTGAGTAAGGACAAGGCCAGGAGGGCAAACTTACATAGTTAGTTGCCCACCATGACTTGAATACCAAGTATTTCTGCAGCCTGGGGGCGGTCTTTTCCTGGAATTCTTTGGCCAGTGTCTCCATACGGTAATATTCCTCATCCTCCAACAAGGGCCGCACAGACTCCAAGTACTGTCATTACCACAAGGTCAGATATCAATGGCTATCTTAACCCTCTTCCCATCTCTGTCTCCTCACTCAGGCCCCATTACTCTCAAGCCAACTATTTACAGGAAACAGTCTTTTATGTTTGAACTAGCCTCTGAACCCAGGCCCCCATGCCCACTAGTACCCAGGCCCTTACCCGCTGAACTGTGGATGACACACAGGGCACAGGAAGTTTTGGCAGAGATGTCTGGAAGCTGTAGAGCATGGGCCGACGGCTGGACAGAAGGCGGACACAGATCTAGAAGTACAGGGCACAGCATTGGAGTGGGAGGCAGGAGGCACAAATCAGCAAATGAATGACACCTTTAGAACCACCCCATCCCCCTTCAGGATAAACCCACACATGAGGCACCAGTGCCCAGTCTGTCTCTCCCTTCCTGTTTAGAACCCCAAATGAGATTCTTGGGGTATCAAACCACACGCCTGCACCCTCCAATGTTTCTGCTCACAGCCCAGATCTTGGTGGCATGACTGGTCTTGCCGTGCATCTCAAACATCCACCCGTGGTAAGAAAGCAGCAGCTTCAGAGTTTGTCGGAATAGGAAGATGCCTGTTACCCAGACCCCCGTGGAGAAGATGGCCATGCTGAGAAGTGCCCGAGACTGTGGGGTCTCATAATGGCTACACCTATGAGAGAAGGGGAGAGGACTGCCGGGGATCCACTCACAGCAATATTAGAATTCTGAATCATCGGCTATGAACAGTCTTGTGAGAGACACAAAGGGGCAAGAACCTCTCTGGGCACACTCAGGTCTGACTGTATCAAATACCAGCTGATATGGTGGGGGGAAGGTTGCCCCTGGGGCCATTATGAACTGCTGTCTTGAATTTGACTAGCTCAGGAATGATCTTGGGAACTAGCCTAGCCCTCTTTCCTGCCACTTGTGCCCTCCTGGCTTTTTACCTCTCAGGGAGGTATCTCTGGATACAATAGACCAGCCCCATGGAGATGTCCACCTTGCAGTAGGAGGAACCCACTGTTGCCATGACGATGACCAGCCAGCTGGTAGGGCTTCCAGGGTACACACCTCTAAGGATGCCATTCTGTGGAGCAGAAACAGGCATCCTTGTTGAGCAGAAGGCTAAGGGAATGGGGCTCCGGTGAGGTCCTAGGAAGGGCTTCCCAGTCTGCCGCAGCGGCCTGCTGTGCTGTTCTCATTCCTTCCACACACCCACACCTGCAGCACCCCTAGTGTCCCGTCACACCTTGATCCCCTCAAACTTCTGCTCTAGTGAAGTCTGTTCCCAGCAGCGCTGTTGGCCACAGTGGTGGCGGACACCGACCACGGGGCGACCGCAGACATCCAGCCCCGCCGTGCACCTGCTGGAGAATCCAGAACCACCTATGCCCACCTTGATGCGAATCAGGCGTTTCTTCCAGGAGTTGATCCCAGACAGGTAGATGTGTTTCAGGGCTTCCCGACTGAGCCGGAAGTCGACCCCTTCTGGGGTCACAGTGAACTGAAAGGCCACGGCCTGGTGTGCTTCCGCCATCCTGGGGGTTGGTCGGCACCTGGAAGCCGGGAAGGGGGGTGGGCGGAAGGGTGTGCGGCGCGCTCAGGCCGGCCCCGCCCGGGCCTCCCAGCGCCGAGGCCCCGCCCCCGGGCCCACCGCCCCTTCCCCGGCCCCAGCTTCCCTAGCGGCGCTCCGGGCTCCGGGCTCCGGCGCGGGCCGCGCCTCCGCCCTTCTGCCCGGCCTACAAGCCCGGCCAACCGCCGTCGCCGAACCCTCGCGGCGGCGTTCCGGACAGCTCTAGCCACAATGGAGCGGGACTGGAAAGGGGTAGGGAACCTTCAGAGCCGGGCGTCGACACGGGCAGCGAAGGGCGGCCTCGAGGGGGGCAGCGCCCCGGAAGCAGCGGCCTCCTGGGCGGGGAGGGCCGGGCGTGGTGCGGGGCTCTGGGCACCGCAGGGTCCTGCTCCCACCGCCAGGCTCAGCTTGCTCCCGCCGGCGTCCGAGCTGGCTACTCGGCCTGTGTCCCCGCGTCCTTCAGGCCTGGCCGGCCTGGCCCCACCCTGGCTGAGAACCTGACACCCACTCCTAAATTGGGGTGGAGAAAACAAGACAGAGGCCCGGCGGGGCGCACGCCAGACCGCCGCCCCCTGCGGTGGGAACGGGGAAAGGGGCAGGGTTTCCACAAGCAAGCTGAAGGTTGCTCGAAGGTCCAGGGGCCGGGGTGACGGTGGGGCAAAGGGGCTCACGTGAGGATGGTGGCATTATAGCTAAAAATAGCCAAATGTAGGGAAAAGGTCATGGTGGAGTCAGCCATGCAGCCTAGTCTGCTCCTGGATACTGGTGGCTGGGGGGGACAGCCGCATCCCAGGGCCCTCCGTAGGTCTCTAGGCCGCCCTCTGTCGGTCTCTAGGCCACCCTCCAAGTCTTCCTAGTACTTGTTACTTGGAGCCAGGGGAGACCTGAGGGATAGAGATCCCCAATGGGCAGAACGGGCCCACAACCATTTTTAAGCCCAGAACATTGAACATCCATTCATCTGTGTGTTCCTGTCGGGTATTTCTGTTTCCAAAGCACAAACAAGACAGCTATGAAGGAACAGCTCATTTATTAAGGTACACAGTCCAAAGGCGCCCACTTTGGGCAACTATACAATCTGGGGGAGAGGTCAGCCTTCTCAATCAGTCTCATTTGAGGACACAAGTCCAGTCCCCAGGGACTCCTGCCCTTTGTCTTTCCCTCCAAGGTCCTGCCCTGGAGGCTCCAAGAAGAAAGTTGAGGAATGAAGTTGGATGGTCAGGACGATGAGTGGAAGCTGGTCAGCTGCCCTTTCTGCTGGAAGTAGAACTGGAACCGAGACTGGGCGTACTCCTAGGGAAGGAGGCCCCGCCCGCCAGGGTGAGAAGGCTTGGAACCTGCATGCTACACACATGCCTTGGTTTGCCCAGTTTCCTGGATAACATATAGCTATTGTTGCTCCCCAGCTCTCAATTAACGTGCCCACTCCCTTGATGCTTACCAAGTATCCAAATTCTATAGTGGACATGGATGCCTGGAGGATGGACCACAGACCCCAGAAGAAATGAGAAGCCAAAGCATACCTGGGCAAGGGAGGGGCATAGAAGGTACCTGTGTGCAAGATCACTTAGGCTCTGCCTCATCCCTTCCCCTGGGCCAGCCAGTCCTCACAGCTCTAATTTCTCCCCTATTTTCCTAATACCTATGCAGTCCTAACTCCCCACTTTGAAACTGTCCCTTCCCACCAGCTAAGGCTGGCTGGCTAGCTCAGATTTCATAATCATAAGCCCACTCTGTACTTGCCCTTTGCGACCCCCTCCCCCACCTTTCCTCTGCCCCTTCCAGACTCCCAACCTGCCTCTCTTTCCTTACCGGTTGACCTCTATCAGCAAATCTTCTTCTAGTTTTTTCTGCTCCACTGGAGAAAGAGTCTCACCTTTCATTACCTCAGACAGGTAATGGCGAATAAAATGAAGCTGAGAACAATGGACAGGAGTCAGGAACTAGGGAGTCCACTGGGAGTATTTCCCTCCCAGTCAACACCCTTTCTGGGATGCTGGAACCATTTCCCAGCCTTTGGTCCACATACCTGCTGTTCTCGAGTTGGGTAGTCTGTGAGCTGTGCTTTGTAGAAAGGCCATTCTTCATGAGTATAATCATAAACCCACTCACAAAAATGGTTCCCAATGTCAAAGCCCCTGGGAAAAAAAGGTGGAAGTTCTATCCCCAGATGCCCCAGCAGCTGGAATGGAGAGATAAAGTCCAGCTTGTTTTTCCATCATCTAGTTGGAACAGATCTGTAAGAGACTGCCCTCTCAGCCTTACCTGTAGTTATAACTGCTGTACTCAAAATCAACCAGCATGAGGCTATCAACATTTTTTGGCTCTGAGAGCAATAAGATGTTTCCTGGGGAAATAGAGTGGGGTTCGGGTCAGTATGGGGCCCCCCGGCCTCTCCAGCTTGGATTAGAATTCTCAAATCAAAAGCCTTTTCTTACCTTCCTGGATGTCATTGTGACAGAAGACCACTGGTGATGGGGTAGAATCTAGCAACTTCCTGCAGAGGTAGACGGACATGGGTCTAGAGTAATTAAAGTTACTCTCATAGGCTAGGCCCAGATTCCTGCCACCAGTAAATCCCAGGTGCATGGTGAGATGCTCCACCACCCAGCCAGCCTTTACCTGAGGTTGCCCATCTCATCCTTCAGGCTGTACATTTCCAGTAGATTCATATGAGGGAGGTCAGTGGAAGGTAGGTCTTGGATCTGCTTTAAGTACCTGAAATTCAAACAAATAGGTAAATCACTGCCCACTATCCTATTTATTCTGAAGCTAGCAACTTAAGAGCCCATGCTAGACAAAGGGACACTTAATCAACTCAACTGGAGGGCTGGACACACCCATGGGGGTTCAGGTGTTTGGGTTACAAACCTGACTCACCGTTCCATAGTCCCAAACAACCAATGAGGTTCCTTGGTGAAAGGCATCTCCATACCATGGAATTGGGCCATCTTCATGGCAATGGCTGCTGACAACAGCGGCTCTCGAAGTTCATGGGTTTTCAATGGCCGGCTCTGCACCCAGGAACCTATCAGGATGGTGAAGGGGCTGGGGCAGGAGGGGAAAGGGATTGGGGGACCTGGGGGAGGCCAAGACCTTGGGGAGAGTTTCCGAACTGGGATGTGAAGGTAGACACTGGGGAGGAGGACAGGGGACAATGAAAGAAGGAGATGTGGGGAGAGGGCTGAGCTCGTACTGGGAGATACTGTTCCAGGCGGCCCTCTGGGAAGACTCCATAGAGCTGCGGCCCCAGCGACCGCTCTGCAAGGATGGCGAACATTACGCTTTCTAGGACCAAGGAATCCACGTCCTGAAGGAAAATGGCACAGCAAAGGGGCCCAAATCAGTGGGGACGGGAGGTAAGCGGCCCCGGACCTATAGGAGGGCCTGATTTCTCCATCGCAGCTGGAACTTCCGGTCTCACCACCCGAGGCCCCGCCGCACAGGCTCTCCGTGAGGTGTGCCGTTCGCCTGCGCCCCTGCGCTTCCCCCTCACCTGCAGGATGGCCCCGTACAACCGCAGCAGCACCTCCCGCGGCTCCTCGCCGACGCTCGGCAGGTGGTCCGGCAGCGAACAGCGGAAGAGCAGGTTGCTGAGTCCTCCGCTGCAGACGCGCACACAGCGCCTTCAGTCGGCGTCCGCCCCGCCCGGGGGCCCGAGCCGGGCCCCAGCCCGCCGCGGGCCCGCCCCGCCCCCGGCCCAACCCTCGACCCCGGGCCTCCCACCTCACGGGGCAGACCCGCAGCTCGTCGGGCTGCACTCGGCGCCAGGCCCCGCCCAGGTACTCCCGGCACCAGCGATAGGCTCGGCGCTCGGCGTCACGAGACAGCGACGAGGCTCGCCGCCGGCTGGCGGCCGCGTCCGGGCACCCGGCCGGGTGGCCGCTGACAGCCCCGCCTTCGCACGCAGCGGAAGCCTCCGCCGCCATAACGAGGACTCCACAGGCCCAACGCCCTGCTGCAAGCTGCTCTCTTTGGGAGGGCTCGGCTCCTTCCGGCCCCGCTCGACCCACTTCCGGCCGCTCTAGCCTCCCCAGCCGCACTCGGCTCTTTCCGTACGGTGGTCCGGGCCCATCCTGCAGGTGAGGGAAGCCGCGCGTCCCCGCGGTCCCCGCCTCCGATCAAGGGCCAATGGCGTCTCCTCCTGGGTGGGGCAGGCCCGGTCACGCCCTCGAGACGGGCGGGGCCTCCGAAGCCTGGCCGTTGTTTGGACGGTGGCCCGGAACCTAGAGGCGTCTGGAGCCAATCAGAAGCGTCGTGGGCGGGCGCGTCCTCCGCCTCCCGGCGGTGGCGGAAGACGGGCTGAGCATCGGCGAGCGCTGGCGCGAAGCGTATTCGGCACCCGTCGCGTGATCGTAAGCCGCTGTACCTCACTTTCCAGCAAAAATTAAAACGGGCTGGGAAGGTGGCTCAGGGTGGCTGGGAGGACAGGCGTGGCCCCGAGACTCGACATTCACACACCGACTGGAGGAGGTGCCCTTAGCGGAGGAACACTGTTTATTGAAACAAATCCAGAAGATAGAACACGGCGGAGGGGGGTGGGGTGCTGTTGGTGTTTGTTTTGCTTTGGGTTTTTTTCTCTTATGGAGGGAGTAAGGGAGGCAGAAAAAGTAAACAAATGCAACCATTCTATTCAGTATACACCGTGGAAAATGACCTCTGCAGCTTGTGTGCAGGGAGGGAGGGGAAACTGGAGGAAAGTAGAGAAATGTATTCATTACCTGATTATTGAAATGGTAGCTCTTCTGTGCAAATAATAAATTTTTTTTTTGGTCGGTCGTGGGGCTCGAACTCTGGGCCTGGGCGCTGTCCCTGAGCTCTTCAGCTCAAGGCTAGCACTCCACCACTTGAGCCACAGCACCACTTCCGGCTTTTTCTGCTTATGTGGTGCTGAGGAATCGAACCCAGGGCCTTATGCATGTAAGGCAAGCGCTCTACCACCGAGCCACCTTCCCAGCCCCAAAATGATTAAAAAAAAAAACCAAAAACAAAAACTCACTTTTCTGTATACCAACAGCAAACAGGCTAAGAAAGAAATCAGAAAATTCCATTTACAATAGCCACAAAAGCACAGACTACCTGGGCATAAACAACCATTAGGCAGCTAAAGGACTTCATAATAAAAAAATATAAAACCTTAAAGAAATTGAACACAGCCAGGCATCAGTGACTCACGCTTGTAATTCTAGCTACTCAGGAGGCTGAGATCTGAGGATCGCAGTTCAAAGCCAGCATGGGCAGGGAAGTCTGTGAGACTCTTATCTCCAATAAACCACCAGAAAACTGGAAGTAGCATCGTGGCTCAAGTGGTAGAGCTGAAGAGCTGAGGGACAGTGCTCAGGCCCTGAGTTCAATCCCCATGACCATCAACAACAAAAAAACACAGTTACAGTTATCTGCTCTGTGTGTACACCAGTACTAAGAAATGAACTAAGGGCCTAGGTGCTGTCCCTTAGCTTTTTTGCTTAGGTTTAGTGCTCTACCACTTGAATCACAGGTCCACTTCAACGTTTTGGTGGTAATTGCAGATAAGAATCTTAAGTAGCCAGGCACTGGTGGATCACGCCTCGGGAGGCTGAGTGAGATCTGAGGATCAGGGTTCAAAGTCAGCCTGGACAGTGTAAGGTCCGCTCCTGGATGGTGAGCACACTCTACCCTCCTCGCAGCAAAGTCTCCACCCAGTACCTGCATTACCTAGGCAACTGGCACACTGCAGGAGGTCACATCTGCATCTGCTGAGGTCACATCTGAATTTGATGTGGCCACACCTTTCTCCGCCCATACCCTAGATAAGGCCTAGCCCAGGCCCAGACGCCCTCTTTCCCAGGTCTTTTTCCCAGGCCTTTCCCAGCGGCGTGGAGGGCCAACATGACTTGATGCCAACCGGAACGATGAATAAACCTACCCCTTACCTGAATACCACATGTGTGGTGTGGTTCTTACTCAGCAACCTCTTTTTAAAAACCTGACAGGCAGCAAAGTCTGTGAGACTCTTATTTCCAGTAAACCACTAGAAAACTGGAAGCGGTGCTGTGGCTCAAGTGGTAGAGCGCTTGCCTTGAGCTGAAGAGCACAGGGACAGTGGCCAAGCCCAGAGTTCAAGCCCCACAAAAACAACAACAACAAATTTCAAGTATACCGGGTGTCAGTGGCACCCAGCTAGTTCCTTATCTCTAACTTTGTACAAAAATCAACTCCAAATGTATCAAAGGTCTAGCCTGCCTGCCTGCCTGCCTTCCCTCCCTCCCTCCCTCCCTCCCTCCCTCCTTTCTTTCTTTCTTTCTTTCTTTCTGTTGAACTCGGCCTGGGCGCTGCCCCTCAGTTTTTCAGCTCAAGGCCACTACTCTGCCACTTGAGCCACAGCGCCAATTCTGGTTTTCTGGTGGTTTATTGGAGATCAGAGTCTCACGGATTTTCCTGCCCAGGCTGTTTTTTTTCATTTTCATTTTCTTTTTAATTTGCCAGCATCACTGTTTATTAATAGACCCAGTTACAAAAATAGCATGGCAAGCTGGGCACCAGTGGCTCACACCTTTAATCCTAGCTATTCAGAAGGCTGAGATCTGAGGATCATGGTTCAAAGCCAGCCTGGGCAGGAAGGTCCATGAGACTTATCGCCAATAAACCACCAGAAAACTGGAAGTGATGCTATGGCTCAAGTGGTAGAACACTCACCTTGAGCTGAAGAGCTCAGAGACAGCGCCCAGGCCCAGAGTTCAAGCCCCATGACTGACAAAAAAACTAAAAATAACATGGCAGACACCTCAGTTAATCCTTCTAATAAGCCTGTTGATCTGGTCCTCCCTTTTGCCAGCATCTCCATCTTCTACAAAGTGAGTGATCTTCATGCCACCTCATGGAGAAGATAACTTGAAGGGCCACAGGAAGTTATTTGCTTCTTGACGCATTTTACAACAGTATGGATCTCATGAATCAGATCATCCATGCAGATGATACCATATTTACCAAGAGATTGAGCAACCAAAGCGTTATCTGTTAAGGCAATTTGCTTCTTATTAATTTTGCCATAACCAGGCTTGTAGATGAGCTCATTTACTGACTTTGGGTTTGAGTACCCCATGTAGTATATGGTTCCATAACCCTCAGCAACTTAATTGAAGCCTTGTTGAGCTTAACAAAGGTACCACTGAAGATCTGGCAAAGGCAAAGAAGGTGCAACACCTTATGGACTTTTGGATTCACACCATCTCTGATATCTCTGATTCTGATGACAAATGCCAATTTAGTCTCTGCAGGTACATAGATGTTGCTCGCTTCTCTGGCCACTGTAGCCTTTCGGATCTCAGCTCTGTATGTTTGCCTGTATTCTTTGTGATAATACTTAGCTTTTTCAGAGATGAGCTTCTCCTTGCCTTTCTCAGGACTAAGCTTCCTCCTTTCTTTCGAAGATCTCTGAGCACATTTCTTTCTCAGGCACTTTGTTTTCAGCTCAGCAAAATTCCTTTGCTTTTTCTTGTGTCCCTGGCATAGCAGGAACCTTCTTTTTCTTCTCTTTGGCACCCTCCATGGCTCCAGGTGAAAAAGAGCCCAGCTGGCTTTGAACTGCAATCCTCAGATCTCAGTCTCCTGAGTAGCTAGGATTATAGGTTTATAGGCGTGAGCCACTGGCGCCCAGAAAGGTCAATTTTTTTTTTTTTTGTCTGAGGCTGGGACTTGAACTCACTACCTGTCATTTTCACTCATTGGCTAGTGACTACCAACTGAACTACACTTCGAACCTCTCAAAGATCTAAATGTAATATCTGAAACTATTAGAGAAAAACATAGGGAAAACTCTGGAAGATATAGGCACAGGTAATTATTTATGAATGTGACTCCAAGAAGGAACAAACAGAACTGCATCAAATTAAAAATGTGTGTACAAAAATATTGCAAAAGAGGGCTGGGAAGGTGGCTCAGTGGTAGAGTGCTTGCCTCCCATGCATGAGGCCCTGGGTTCGATTTCTTAGCACCACATAAGAGGAAAAAACTGGGAGTGGTGCAGTGGCTCAAGTGGTAGAGCCCTAGCCTTGAGCTGAAGAGCTGAGGGACAGCACCTAGGCCCAGAGTTCAGGCCCCATGACCAACACACACACACACAAACATACTTTATGGCCCTGCTATATTACTGGAGTATATATCTGAAGGAGTCATAATCAATATATAAGAAAGAAGCCAGGGGCTGGATGTGTGGCTCAGGTGATAAAGAGACAGCCAGTGAGTAAAAGCATCAGATACCAAGTTTGAGTCTCAGTCTCAGACTAAAAAAAGAAAGAAAGCTGCATACCTATGTTTATTGCAGCTCTGTTCATACTAGCCAAATAGTGGAATCAGCCAAAGTGTTGACAGAAGGATAAAGAAAATAAGGTAAATAAGGTATACACAAACACATATATGTGTACATGTATACATATATATGTGTATGTATGCATATATATAGTGAGATGTCATCAAGGAAAATGAAATGTCATTTGCAGAAAAGTTGAGGAAACTGGAGATCATCATGTTAAGTGAGATAAGCCAAGATCAAAAAGCCATACACCACTGATGGCTCTCATCTGTAATCCTAGCTAGTAAGGAGGCTGATATATGAGGACCATTGTTCAAAGCCAGCCTGTAGAAAAGTCCATAAGACTCTTACCTTAATTAACCACCAAAAACCTAAAAGTGTAACTGTGGCTCAAGTGGTAGAGTGATAGCTTTGAGTTAAAATCTCAGGGACAATGTCTACTCTCTGAGTTCAAGCCCCAGGATTGATACATACACACAGGAAGCCAAATACCATGTTATTATTCTTATTTGTAGAATCTGGATGAGGCTATGTGTGTGTGTGTGTGTGTGTGTGTGTACACAATAATTTACAGTAGTATAAAGAAATGGAGAGGGCTGGGAAGGTGGCTCAGTGGTAGAGTGCTTGCCTTGCATGCATGAGGCCCTGGGTTCGATTACTCAGCACCACATAAGCAAGAAGAAAAAAGCCAGAAGTGGCACTGTGGCTCAGGTGGTAGAGCACTAGGGTTGAGCTGAAGAGCTGAGGGACAGCGCCCAGGCCCAGAGTTCAGGCCC